TCTATTTTCTCAAAGATTACACCTGCAAGTAAACTAAATGAGGCTTAGTGGTGGTGGTGGTGGTGGAGGGGGGAGGATGTCAGCGAGAGAGCCAACCAGAACCAGCTGAGTGGCTGCGTTGAGCATTCTTTCAAATATGTATGCATGTAGATTAATTATTTCATTCATGAGAAGATTAATAGAAGAAACTGTGTCAATATTACTTACTCGACTTGCATTTCACTGGTTGACCAACCTTCAATGTGTATTAATCGCCAATTGAATAATCTAATAAGAAGTGTCTTTTGAATAAAACTACTTTTCCTAAATTTTTTAGTATATATTTGGTTTTATGTTAAAGTACAGAGTACTTTTTGATTGTTTTCGTTTTTGAGATGAGAAGGGTGTTTTGATTGGCTATTCATTATTGCTGAGCAGTTGTCATTTGTATAAATTATGCCTCTATTTATTATTATTATTATTACTGTTCATTCAAACGAATATTCTCTGTCTGCGTGACTACATTGCCTGTCACGTGTAATTGACAATTGAATCTACATAATTTTGTAATGGCACTAACTTTCTGATAATCTTGAAAAAGTACACTAGGCGTGTTAATTGTAAAAGTTCACCATCTTATCGGAGGAACAGTATCAGATGGCTTGGACAGGGAAGTATTTAAATTTTCATAATTGCTATCCATCCATCATAAAATATATTATTATTTCTTCATTATTTCCTTTGATTCCTAGAGGAACATAGGGCTTCAACCGCTCACGTCTCCATTGCCTTCTGTTTTCTGCCAACGTTTTCGGCGCGCTCCAAGTCTGCCACCCACACGCTTTCATCTCCTCTTCGCAGAACTTCCTCCAAGTCATCCTTTCACTGACGACCAACTCGCCACTTCCCTTTCGGGTTCCACTCGAGTAATGGCTTGTCTAGTGATGTCACTTGATGCTTTTCTCAGAGTATGGACAATCCAATCCACCTCCATTTCTTCCTGCCTATTTATTTCACAATCGGTTCCAGTTGTATTGGTTCGCTCCCAGAGGTCTCTGTTGCTGATCTTTACTGGCCGGCCATCGGATCTTGAGTAGTATTGAGTGAAGACGACTGTTGATGAAGTTCTTAAGTTTGTTTGACATGCTGTTTATGACGCGCTGGCCAAGTCTGTGATCCGTATAGACAGTAGGACTGACTTCACATTGGAGTTAAAAATGTGGATCTGATTTTTGATTCTGAGTTCTGTTGACCTCCGCACAGACTTGAGAGCAATGAAACCTTGTCTTGCTTTCCCAATCCTTGCTTTGATATCCTTGTCAGTTGAGTCCACCTGTAGTTGAGGCGATGCTTCCCAGGTATATATATATATATATATATATTTGAAAAGGGTGTATCGGCCAACAATTGATTTCTTTCGGAAAATGCCATGAATAATACTAACACTTTATTACAATTTTATCCTCTGAGCTGGCAGATTTATTTGCGAAGCTTTGAATGTCTCACTAGGCGTCATCTTCAGATCAACTAACAAGCATCAAATACTCAATCACAACAGCAAAAACCCAATAACACATAGAAGGAATTACATACAAACACTATTCAAGAGGTCAAGGACTCATTGCAGGACTCCTACCTTAAAGAAAATTAAAGAAAGATATCTCATGAACGTCCTCCAAATGAATGGATATCCTCAGAATTTCTCCAAAAGACATATACTCTCAAGCCAACCTGTCAAACTAAAATACCCCAAGAAAAGCACAAAGAAAATCTCCTTACCATATATAAAAAAATCTCAGAAATCACTGCAAGACTCTTTAAACTTTCAGGAATTGAGGACGCACACAAACCAACTAAATTACATAACTCAGCTGAGTCAATGTCAAAAAATACTCAACCATGAAAGTGAATGATACAAACATCAAATATAAAAAAAATTGTAAAAACTGCAAAAAACGCTACATTGATTATAGTGGACATCCCCTTGATAATCATATCAATTTTGATTAAACGACAATGAAATTTTAAATTTATTGCTCTCTTTGCCTTCTCCTATTTGTCGTAATGGTAGTAGAATTTTCCATATATCTGGGACAGGTGTTGAATCATTCCTATTACACGTGTTTGCAGTTGATTCGATAAACAAAGCTTCTGGTATCAATCTCTCCCTATACCCTGTGACATTAGATTTTAAAACTGTCATCCTACTCATTCCTAGTGTATGGTTGTGCGTAGCTGCATGCAGTCAGTGCTATAGCTGAACTATTCTCTAGATTTCTTATCTTATTTGGGTCAACCAATCTATATTTTACTAGGTTTTTATGTTTGGCTAGTCTGACTGCCCCTGTTCTACTAGTCTAACCTATGTATTTGACCTGACAATCATTCCAGGTAGGGTATTAGATAAACTGAATTTTGTTTTAAAGGCTCCACAGGATTGATCCTTTAACCGACAAAGCATGTTTCTAATTGAGTTGGTGGGTTTGAATGCCACTTTTATTCCTGCCTTGTTAAGAATTCTGCGTAAGGCTTCCGAGGTTCCTTCCTTGTATGGAATTATTGTTGATGATTTAGATTCCTTATTGTTGGTGTCGTTATTAATATTATTATTATTACTATTATTATTACCATTATTATTAATATCATTATTATTGTTATTATTATCACTATCGCTATTATCATTATTTATTTTATTTTTACATTTGCTTACATATTTCTTGACTAATTTATCCGGGTAATTATTAAGTTTCAAGGCTTCTTTAATGTGTATCACTTCCTGTCTTAGATTTTCCTTGGTACACCTTAGTTTTTGTGCTCTGTCATTTAAACATTTCACCAATCGTATTTTAACTGACATAGGATGGGATGATCGGAAATCCAAATATCTGTTTGAATGTGTGGGTTTTCTGTAAACACTAGTGTTTAGCTTCCCATCTTCTTTCCTTTTAACGTTGCAATCCAACAATGGAAGCTCCCCTTCCTGACTTTGCAATTCATAAGTTAGTTGACTTGCCTCCACCTTTGAGTTGATGTGCTCGAAAAATCTATCTATATTTTGTGTTCTAAGTACAGTGAATGTGTCATCTACATACCTCCACCATACTTTTGGGGTGGGGGTGAACGTTTCAATCGCTATGTTTCCCCACCTATCTATGTATATATCTGATACAACCGGGGATATTGGTGACCCCGTGGGAACTCCCCAAGTTTTTTTCGTATATTTTCACCTGGAATTTAAATACTGTAGAAGTCAGGCATAGCTGTACTCCCAGGATTACGTCCTCAAGTGACACTTTCGTTCTATGTTCAAGATCTTGGTCAGAAATGAGTTCGTTTCTCACTGCCTCTATGGCCATATTTATTGGTATACGTGTATATAATATACACGTGCAGCTGGGAGTGCAGCTTTGCCTGACTTCTACAGTATTTAAATTCCAGGTGAAAATATACGAAAAAAACTTGGGGAGTTCCCACGGGGTCACCAATATCCCCGGTTGTATCAGATATATACATAGATAGGTGGGGAAATATAGCGATTGAAACGTTCACCCCACCCCAAAAGTATGGTGGAGGTATGTAGACGACACATTCACTGTACTTAGAACACAAGATATAGATAGATTTTTCAAACACATCAACTCAAAGGTGGAGGCAAGTCAACTAACTTATGAATTGCAAAGTCAGGAAGGGGAGCTTCCATTGTTGGATTGCAACGTTAAAAGGAAAGAAGATGGGAAGCTAAACACTAGTGTTTACAGAAAACCCACACATTCAAACAGATATTTGGATTTCCGATCATCCCATCCTATGTCAGTTAAAATACGATTGGTGAAATGTTTAAATGACAGAGCACAAAAACTAAGGTGTACCAAGGAAAATCTAAGACAGGAAGTGATACACATTAAAGAAGCCTTGAAACTTAATAATTACCCGGATAAATTAGTCAAGAAATATGTAAGCAAATGTAAAAATAAAATAAATAATGATAATAGCGATAGTGATAATAATAACAATAATAATGATATTAATAATAATGGTAATAATAATAGTAATAATAATAATATTAATAACGACACCAACAATAAGGAATCTAAATCATCAACAATAATTCCATACAAGGAAGGAACCTCGGAAGCCTTACGCAGAATTCTTAACAAGGCAGGAATAAAAGTGGCATTCAAACCCACCAACTCAATTAGAAACATGCTTTGTCGGTTAAAGGATCAATCCTGTGGAGCCTTTAAAACAAAATTCAGTTTATCTAATACCCTACCTGGAATGATTGTCAGGTCAAATACATAGGTTAGACTAGTAGAACAGGGGCAGTCAGACTAGCCAAACATAAAAACCTAGTAAAATATAGATTGGTTGACCCAAATAAGATAAGAAATCTAGAGAATAGTTCAGCTATAGCACTGACTGCATGCAGCTACGCACAACCATACACTAGGAATGAGTAGGATGACAGTTTTAAAATCTAATGTCACAGGGTATAGGGAGAGATTGATACCAGAAGCTTTGTTTATCGAATCAACTGCAAACACGTGTAATAGGAATGATTCAACACCTGTCCCAGATATATGGAAAATCCTACTACCCTTATGACGAATAGAAAACTATAAAACACAAATTTCAAATTCGTTTGATTGCAATTGATATGATTATGAGGAATAAATTTTGTTCGAATGTTCGTCATCCGGAAATAATAGTGTTTCACTGTGTCATAAACAAACTACTATGGAATCGACGAAGTCATTTTTTAGCTTTCCAAGGCTGGTCCACTAGTCCACACTTTAAACGTTGCTTGATTCTCTTACCTTAGGTCTACCTACTAAACTAGTAGAGATGGAGGAATACAGAGGACCGAATATACTGGAATGTGGATGTCCTTTTGAAGCTATTTGTTCTGCTCATAGCCCTATGAGAATAATAATTTTTTGGTCGACATATATACCACTTTTAAATACTCAAATGATTGAAAAATAAAATAAAAGAATATATATTGAATAGTCCTAACTCACTTGATCATCGGTTACACAGTATCTAGACTGACAAACGTTATTAGTTAATTGTCGGTTGCTTTCTAGTAAGGTTGACGTTAGTTATTCTTTGTAGGTGAAAACTTGCATTCAACCAGTATTGACAAGACTGTTTCAATATGAAAAAAAGTAGATCCATATCTTTTAATGATCAATTATAGCGTAGTTTTCTTCTTACTGGCTTAAGAATTGTTACTCATCATTAGCTTTATATGATCAAAGATAGAATTAAGTGAATTTTAATAATCATCTAATTATATATATATATATATATATATATATATATATATATAAGTGTTTATCCGTTTTCTGTGTTAAGTAACCCAAGCATATATATGTACATATACTTACAGTAACTGAGAAATTTCTGTATACTACTTACATATATATACATATAAACTGAAAAATTCTTACTTTGGAGCCTTCTTCAGTCATGTTAATTATTCTTTTATGATATATATAAATTCATATATACCAGAAATTATTTTTTCTCTAAATATTAAGCAAAATAATGCCATTTTGGTATACAATGTCTTAAAATAAAAACAGCTTCACATGTGTCACTTAGTAAGTTTATTGGTAAACATATATATATAGAAGAAACAAACGAACGGATGTGTGTGTTGGTGTGTGTGTGTGCGTGTTTATGTGGCATGTTAGACAGTTGAGTAGAAAAAAAACTTGAAAGAAAAGTGAAGCATCGTCGGTGAGTTCAAGAGCAGCATGGAAAGTTCTGTGTGGAGAGAAGGAAATCAAGCTTGTAGATGTGACGGTAGTGAAAGTTTTCTATTGTAGCACTGTGTTCCACAGGGGGAAAACAAAGAACGGGTGATAATAACAATCATAACTTTGGTTTGCAGTGACGTGACTAGTTTCAGGATTTCAACATGGGTGGACATCAGTTAGAGAACAGTTGGAAAATCTGAAAATACTGGACAGTCAGTTCGTTCCAATTTGAGATTCTCCGACAGTGCACATTTATTTGGGTTGAACTCCAGCCACTGAAACCGAAAAGCACAGCTGATGAATTCCAGCTTTTGTCCATTCATGATATAACGTGACTATAAGCAAAAGAACCAAAATTATATAACGAGGTATCTGTTGACAAAAAGTCTTAATTTCTGCGAAGAAGACTGATGGAGAATAAATTTCATCCATATACACTGATAAGAACTTTAAATCAAAGAACAGACGGAACTTGGATGTATAGAGATGTTTTGACTGATTCGCGAACTTAAAACTGACAATGGCCCGAAAATTCTCCGAAAATGGTTAGCAAAGGGAGAGCAGAAATATATCTTATTCTAAAGACAGTACATCAAGTAAACTCGGGATGCTTGACTCCATTTGAGAAATGCAGCACATTCTCATACAAGATCCGATAAAACCTATCGAAGGAAGTTAGGCGAAGATAACAAGGGTCATCAGTTTTCCTCAAAGCATATTATGTGTTCATTGGGTTTAGTAGTCATGCACAGACTCATTTACTTTTATCCACAGTTTCCTCTCCCTACCTTTAACATAAATTTTGAACATAAATCTCAGAACCATCTTTCGGGTTATTCATAAAGCACAATACTCACCTTGCGGGATAATGTTTAGATCCGACAACCCATAATTTCAAGGGAGTGTATTATTACCGCGGCAGAGGTCGGGTTTCTCAACATCCAACAACTATAACATGACGCTCCAGGCCGGAAATGGCGTATATTCACCTTGTCAAGCAGTGAGGGCCTGCCAGTGACTAGCAGTGTCGCGGGCCATTCATAGGACCCTATTCCAAAACTTTTATTTCAAGGGCTGTGGATAATTTCGGCGAACGATAGGCCATAATTCCACCAGTATTCATGACACCAGTCATAGCTGTATACGTCAGTGCCACTACCCTATCAGAACTTGAGCCCCCGCCGCAATGTTATTTGCTACAGTAATACTCGGTTGGCAAGAATGGTTCATTAGAAGAATTAACTAATGTTGTAGCGATTAGTCATAGTTACTCCCTCAGAGCTGGCACACGCGCGTTGCTAGCCATACAACACCATTAGCTGAAACCACGCACGGTCGGTCGTGGTCAAAGACCAGTAACTTCACAAGAATGCGCACCGAAGCGCACAAAGCAGCAAAAAAACAGCCTCCAACTGGACCGACACATATCTGATCTCGGCCTGTCTGACTCGGCCCCAGAGCCAATCCTCTCGAAGTTCCGGATCCAATTTGTCGACTTCGCTTACCAAATGTCCAGTTACTCCGTTGCCGAAACTTCATTTCATTACTCACTTAAGACGTAACTGTTGTTTCCTTGAGACCATAGTGGGCTTGGCATCAAGTTGAGGATTTCACTTTATTCTTCACAATAAATTTGAGCTGCCTTTACATGATTGCTGATTAGCTGTCCTTTCTTCCACACGATATCCTTCATATCATCTTTGAATAAACAACCAACTCAGCGTTTCCCGTGTGGATTCTATTTGACGACCAAATATGTGATGTCACATGAAGATTGTTTCGTCGTATTTTCAATTTCCCTCCATTTTTAATTTTGCATATTTGTCAGGCAACAGGTTCTTGGATGATTGTTCGCCTCAGTTCCTAGTTGCTTATTCTTTCTGATTAGCCAGTCAGGAAACACACCTCTCGACGAAAGGATGAAGTATTATTTAGGAAATGTGTTTATCTTTAGGCACTTTAAAATTGTGTTTGAACCTTGAACAAGAAATGATTGAATTGATATTGAAAATCCTAATTTTGCTCCTAATACTGAATTCAATAAAGTTCCACACGGATTTTAGAGCGATAGAAAGCAAGTCTCACTTCCTTCATCCTGACTAACTTCGACATCATCACTTATATCGCCTACCTAAAAATAACTTTGTTCAGTCTCAAACAGACATGGTTATCTAATGTGTGGAGCATGTTCTTTGCAATAAACGACCTATCAATATTGTAAACACTAGCTTCATTTAACCCTGATAAGGAAGGTTAGATAGACCTAAGAATATGAATTATTAATATATTACTATTATTAATGTATTGCTGAGTTGTTTAATATAATTCCTTTTATACACTGCCTTTATTGCCGAAAAATGGAATGCACTGTCCAAACGCTATCCACCAAAAATAATTATTACGAATGTTGGTGTTAGCTGGTTTAAGACAATAGCTTGTCACCAGATGTCGTCATTTAGAAGAATACTATACCTGCTGTTTCTGCATAAACATTAACTAGCGCTACTCATCATTCACTATGTGATACAGTGTGATTGGGTTTTTTTTATGATAAATGGTGACCAGTGGTGTTCAATGAGTAGAATGTTTCCTGATGACATTGTCTTTACCTTGGCCATCTATCTTTGAATGATCGTCAATTTCTGTGAAATTTGTCTACTTTTAGTTGATATTCTATTTACTATTGTATCTTTATTATTAATCTTATTATTATTATTATTAAAGTTTAAGCATCTTTAATGAAGTGTAATTCTGTTGATCTTACTTTGCAAATCGGTATTATTTAGAAAGCACACTTATAACGTTATTGACTACTATTCTAGAATATTCTCTCTCTCTATATATATAAACATATATGGATATAATTGTAGAGACAGAAGAGGAATTTATCGTAAAGGATATTCTTTACTCAATTATTTTGTTTTTTGTAAAAGGAATTTGTAGGTGAATCCTCGCCGGCTGCACACGTGATCCGAGTTCTACTCTTCACTGACACACTTCTCAGCCCCGCCTAGCCGGTCGTTTGCTCAATAGAGAAGGAGGAGGCTGGCGATTTCACGCTGTAAAAACAACAACGTCACAGCCACAGGAAATTCGAAGGGTAAACTTGAAGCTTTCTGCCCCACTTGGATGACAAAAAAGAATGAGAGATAAATTGGCGATCGTATAAAGTTGGTTCATGCTTTTTACTAATATCATGAATATTTGTCAGCTAGTTTCTTCCTACAGATAATCTTTACCGTTTGGTACAATCCAAGGAGAATGTCACTAGTGGAGAAAAATACTCTATTCCTGAAGAATTCATTATAAAATTAACACTTAAGATGGCTTCGAGCAGGCGATCTATAAAAGCTTCGCAATCAAACCGTATGCCAGTCACCGAACACGAAAATACCGCACCAAAGAAGATTTATACATTTTCTTTCAAGTTCCGAAATAGCAATAAATTCTTCAGTGGATAGCTTTGAAGATTTTGGTAGCAGTGGTACTTTTTCTATGGGTTGGAGTTGCTGCCCTCACACTTTCTGCATTTAATCAGCTCACCAGTGGATAATTGTTTCCTTTTGAGTAGTAGGTGTTTTGAGTTTGAATGTCAAATTTCCATTCCTGTAATGTCCGTTCAAGGGTCCTATGGAGGGCATTAGACAAAATAATTAAGTTTATCTATTACCTTGAAATGACTGCCAGGTCAGATACATCAGTCAGAGTAGTATAATGAGGTAAGTCAGACTAGCGGAGCACAAAAGCCTATCAAAATCTAGATTTTTTCTGTTGCTTTAAGTTCTCAGTGGAACACAGGAGATTTCAAACTAGAGCTTGTAGGTTTCAGTAGCAATGGTATTTACTTTTACGGGATGGGGTTGCTAGGCTCATGCCCAACCTTCCTTCTTTGAACAGTCTTATTACTGGGTTGGCGAGGTAAAGTATTGCCTCTGTGGTCAAAGACTTAACCCTGAATCACCAGTGTGCTTGAAAAGCCATTCTACCTCTGTGCCACAGATGTGGACAAAATCTAGATTAGTTGACCTTAATAAGATATAAGCAATTTATTGAACATATCAGCGATTGCTGTATATATGCGAATACACACAACCATACAATAGTATGGGATAAGGTCACAGGCATGAAATGTAACGTATATTTATTCCCCTTTATGAATTTGAATTAAGCAAGAACATCAGTGGTTTCTGCAGAGTAAGAAGATGCTATTGTTGCTATTGTTTATTTCGCTGGCTTCTCATCATTTACTCCTAGAGCCTAAATAATTTATGAATAAATTCATGTACAGAGAAGTGCTAACATACTTGCAAATTTTACATGATGTCAATGATTGAAAAGAGGAATAAAGGAGTAAGTAATAAGGCGATACTTCTTTGCAGCTAAGCTGGTGATACTATGCAGCACCAAATGCCTTATAAGCCAATGATAACTAGATAAGTACCCTGTTGATGTTCCTTCCAACTGCATTTTTTAATTTTACGTGCACATGCGGCAGAATGTACATTGAAAGGACGGAAAGAGAGGGCTTCTCTCCTGTTTTTAGAGCGTATTCCAAGAAATGTATGCCTTAAAGAAAGCAGATATTTACAAAGTGCAATTACCAGACACCCACCCTATGAATAGACATTATTTTGTTGAAATTTCCAAATCCTTCAAAATATTAGACATACAAAGGAGAGCGAATCTACTACGATTTGCTGAAGTGATTGCAATCAAACATCTTAGATTAAACTTATGCACACAGAAAGATAGTTTATAGTCAATCTCTCGCTCCCTTGGTAACCGTATTACTTTCATTACACTCAGAAGTCATACAAACTAGTGAGCTCAGGTCATAAAGCAAGTTTTCAATTTGATGAACTTTGACGTTCTTCAGTTACTACTATTTTGACGTACAAGCTCACATTGTTTATTAGATTTTTCTGTTTTCTCTCATCCCCCTTTTTCTTTTTTCATAGTTTGATAGTAATTGATGATAACTTAAACTGAAATTTGTATTACTTATATTCCGGATGGATTGATTTTGTAATGTTTTCTCTATTATATTTAAAACATAGAAGTATGAAATGTCATTATTCATAACTATAGTAATTTCAGGTAGTTGTGTGCAGCAGCTGATGAGAACCTGTGAAATAGAATGATATCACTTTGTACTGCGAATCTGTTCTTTCTTTCTTTCTTTCTCTATGGAAATTTATCAAGGGAACCAAATAAATGAAATATTACTTGGTTCTTTTACCATTGCAATGCACATACCTAATTTGTTTAAAATTTAATTCCCAACAGAAAAGCTGCATAGGCGTAATTTCTGAGCATCATTCACTAATTTCGAAGCCGCCAGTCAACTGATATCATGTGAAATTTGCAAGTATGTCAGAACTTTTCTAGACATGAACTTAATAATTTATTCATTCTGAAGGAGTAGATGACGAGAAGTCAGCGACGTGAACAATGACGATACCATCCTATTCTGAACCAATCCACGGTTGTTCTTGCTTTATTCAAATAAAACATAAGTTAGTGACCGGGGGCGGGGATTGATAATGGAAGCGAAACTTATCCGATCAACACCCCTGTCTCGGACATTTAGCGGTATTCTACTGTCTCTGTGATGAAGGGAAGAGAATAAAAATACCCCATAATACTGAAGTTTTAAAGTTTTGCAGCTTATAAGTGATTATGAAGAATAAATAAATGATGCTACCTAACTAGAGGAGTCGGAGATCTTGTATGTGGATGTGTGTATGTTGAAGAAGGACTACAGAGGACAGAATACAGCAAAATGGAGATTTGAGTTATGATTCCTAACTCAAATAGTGTAAACAATGACTGCTTCTCATGCTTGAACACGAATGATGTCCTCAAGTGTCTTCAATCTCTCAAGCCTACTCAGTCCCTCGGTCCTGATGGTGTTCCTGCTGTTATCCTTAAGAAGTGTGCCGACATCTTGTGTTCCCCGCTAACTGACATTTTCAACGAATCGTTTTCCAAAAGTATTATACCTGAATCATGGAAAAACATCAAGATCGTTCCAGTGCCTAAATCAACAAGTGGACCTAATGTTAAGTTTAGACCCATTTCAATTACCTCACCCTTCTTGAAAGTTATGGAAAGACTTATTTTACTTAATCTTGATCCCTCTTTAAAACCTTTCAACGACCCCAACCAGTTTGCTTATAAACATAGTAGGAGTACGTTAGATGCCGCTGTTGTCCTCCACCATAGCATAGTCTCTAGTTTAGATAAAGGAGCTAAATACGTTCGCTGTGCCTTCCTTGATTACACATCTGCATTTGACTCTGTTCCCAGGTCTCTCTTGCTAAGTAAGCTTGCTGCAACACAGGCTGAAAGCTGGACAAATAAGTGGTTGCATTCCTATTTTTCTGAAAGGAAGCAGTACACCGTCTACAATGGAAAATCCTCCACTACCTCACTTACTTTAGCTGGTGTTCCTCAAGGTGCTGTTCTTTCTCCCTTTCTGTTCTCGTTTTTCTTACATGACTTGCCTCATTCTGATGTAGCCACTTTTGTTAAGTATGCCGATGACCTCTCGGTTTCTATGCCTGTCAACTCTCAGTCAGATTGTTCCAAATTAAATAGCTTTCTGTCGGAAATTAGTCAGTGGTCCTCTTCAAACGGACTTAAGCTTAATCCGTCTAAATGTCAGGTAGTCAATTTCACTTTCAGACGTAAATGTGACCTACAGCAACTAGTTAGCTCACATGGCCCCACTCTCATTGACGGCACAGAGGTTGAAAATACATCTAATGTCAAGTACCTTGGGCTGAGTTTTTCCACCGATCTTTCCTGGTCTTCCCACATCTTGCTAGTTACTAGAAAGATGTTTCGCTTAACGTTCTACATTAGGAAATTTAGGCAGTCTGGTATAAAGCAATCTTTACTTTCTCAATTTGTAAATTCTTGTATTCTACCCATCCTCCTTTACTGCTCCCCATTAGTCTTTCCTGGACTACTTAAGAAAGACTTTGCTTCGCTGAGAAGGGCACTAAAAGCTGTTAGTAGGGCAAGTGGGATATCGTTAAACCAACTGGGTAACACTATTGTAGATAGACATATTATATCATGTAAGAAACTAGCGAATACAATATTGTCGGACCCCGAGCATCCTCTCTATACGCATCTATCTCCTTGCATTTCATCTGGTAGAACTAGAAGCAGCTATAGGCGGCTATATGCTAGGACTACCAAATACAAAAACTCCACAATACCATATCTGGCACAGCTGTTATGTGATGAGAAATCCGTTAGGTATGACACGATAAACTTACTGCAGCACTCTAACAAATAGTCTCATTAGTTTTTGTTTTCCTTTCCTCGTTACTGTTACACTGTTGTTCTCATCTTCTACCACACATCAACTTTATATTTCAAATCCTGTGGTGCATTGTTTGAAATGAAATACTCTACGCTGTTTTTTCTTAATTTTTAATTTTTATTTATTTTATTTATTTATAACTTATTTATTTTATTTTTATTTATTTATCTTTGATTTTTAAAAATCTTATATAATTTATGAGGTAATTAGATGCAATATACTGTAATGCACGCTGAAAATTCCATACCTGTACCACAAATACCGTTTGGAATAAAGCTGTTATTATTATTAGATCGCTCGAAACCGTTATGTTCCGCTCCTACTCCAGGGGAATAATAATTACAATAATAATTTTTTGGTCTACATATCTGCCACTTTCAAATACCCAAATAATTGAAATAATAAAAGAATATATAATGAATAGTCCTCACTCACTTGATCATCGATCACACAGTATCTAGACTGACACACGTTTTTAGTGAATTGGTCGGTTGCTTTCTAGTAAGGCGGACGTTAGTTATTCTTCGTAGGTGAAAACTTGCATTCAACCAGTATTGACAAGACTGTTTCAATATAACAAAAAAACAGTAGATCCATATCTTTTAGTGATCCATTATAGTGTAGTTGTCTTCTTACTGGCTTAACAATTGTTACTCATCATTAGCTTTATGTGATCCAAGATAGAAGTGAGTGAATTTCGATAATCATCTAATTATATATGTATATATAAGTGTTTATCCGTTTTCTGTGTTATGTAACCAAAGCGTATACATGTACATATACTTACAGTAACTGAGAAATGTCTGTATACTACTTACATAAATATACATATAAACTGAAAAATTCTTACTTTGGAGCCTTCTTCAGCCATGTTAATGATGGATTATGATGTATATAAATTCATATATACCAGAAATTATTTTTCTCTAAATATTAAGCATAATAATGCCATTTTGGTATACAGTGTCTTAAAATAAAAACAGCGTCACATGTGTCACTTAGTAAGTTTATTGGTAAACATATATATATATAGAAGAAACAAACGAACGGATGTGTGTGTTGGTGTGTGTGTGTTGGTGTGTGTGTGTGTGCGTGTGCGTGTTTATGTGGCATGTTAGAGAGTTGAGTAGAAGGAACTTGGAAGAAAAGTGACGCATCGTCTGTGAGTTCAAGAGCAGCATGGAAAGTTCTGTGTGGAGAGAAGGAAATCAAGCTTGTAGATGTGACGGCAGTGAAAGTTTTCTATTGTACCACTGTGTTCCACAGGGGGAACACAAAGAACGGGTGATAATAACAATCATAACTTTGGTTTGCCGTGACCTGACTAGTTTCAGGATGTCAACATGAGCGGACATCAGTTAGAGAAGAGTTGGAAAATCTGAAAATACTGGACAGTCAGTTTGTTCCAATTTGAGATTCTCCGACAGTGCACATTCATTGCGGTTGGACTCCAGCCACTGACACCGGAAAGCACAGCCCATGAATTCCAGCTTTTGTCGATTCATGATATAGCGTGACTATTAGCAAAGGAACCGAAATTATGTAACGAGGTATCTGTTGATAAATACTCTCAATTTCTGCGAAGAAGACTGATAGAGAATAAATTTCCATCCATACGCACAGATAAGAACCTTAAATCAAAGAACAGACTGACTGAACTTGGACGTAAAGAGATGTTTTGACTGATTCGCGAACTTGAAACTTACAACGGCTTAGGTATTCTCTGAAAATGGCTCTCAAAATTATTCTCTTCCTCTCTCCCCCCCCTCTATTGCCTGCTTAATGAAACCATTTTTTCAAGAAAATTTTCGTTCAGTGTGTGAAAGACAAGTTGTCGCAATATGCTACGTCAGGATACACACACCAGTTCATTTGATGCTGTGGGGCTCTGTTCATTCGCTGGACTATGTGCCCACTAGTTAAAAACTTACGCGGGAACACTAATTAGCCTGGCTAGCAAAGGGAGAATGAAAACGTATCTTATTCTAAGGACAGCACATCAAGTGATCTTGGTATACTTAGATTCATTTGAAAAATGCAGCACATTCTTCTTCGAAATCCGTTAAAACCTATTAAAGAGAGTTAGGTGAAGACAACCAGAGTCTGTCCTCGGTTTTCCTTTAAGCATATAATGTGTGCGTTGGGTTTATTAGACATGCACAGACGCAATTACGTTTATCCACAAATTTCCCTCCCTACCTTCACTCTGGTGATTTATATCTGTCGAGTTACTCCGTTTCCGAGACTTTATTTCATTACTTACTTAAGACGTAACTGTTTTGGATCATCACTGTTGTTTCCTTGAGACCATAGTGGGCTTGGCATCAAGTTGAGGATTTCGCATTATTCTTCACAATAAATTTAAGCTGCCTTTTCATGATTGCTGATTAGCTGTCCTTTCTTCCACACGATATCCTTCATATCATCTTTGAATCAACAACCAACTCAGCGTTTCCCGTGTGGATTCTATTCGGCGGCTAAATATGTGATGTCACATGAAGATTGTTTTGTCGTATTTTCAATTTCTCTGCATTTATTTTTGCATATTTGTCAGGAAACAGGTTCTTGGCTGGTTGTTCGCCTCAGTTCCTAGTTGCTTATTCTTTCTGATTGGCCAGTCAGGCAACACAGCTCTGGATGAAAGGATGAAGTATTATTTAGGAAATGTGTTTTTCTTCAGGCACTTTAAAATTGTGTTTGAACCTTGAACAAGAAATGATTGAATTGATATTGAAAATCTTAATTTTGCTCCTAATACTGAATTCAATAAAGTTCCACACGGATTTCGTGAGCGATAGAAAGCAAGTCTCACTTCCTTCATCCTGACTAACTTCGACATCATCACTTATATCGCCTATCCAAAAAATAACTTTGTTCAGTCTCAAACAGACATGGTTATCTAATGTGTGGAGCATGTTCTTTGCAATAAACGACCTATCAATATTGTAAACACTAGCTTCATTTAACCCTGATAAGGAAGGTTAGATAGACCTAAGAATATGAATTATTAATATATTACTATTATTAATGTATTGCTGAGTTGTTTGTATAATTCCTTTTATACAATGCCTTTATTGCCGAAAAATGGGATGCACTGTCCAAACGCTATCCACCAAAAATAATAATTACGAATGTTGGTGTTAGCTGGTTTTAGACCATAATTTGTCACCAGATGTCGTCATTTAGAAGACTACTATACCTGCTGTACCTGCATAAAAATTAACTAGCGCTACTCATCATTCACTATGTGATACAGTTTGATTGGGTTTATTTTATGATAAATGGTGACCAGTGGTGTTCAGTGAGTAGAATGTTTCCTGATGACATTGTCTTTACCTTGGCCATCTAGCTTTGAATGATCGTCAATTTCTGTGAAATTTTTCTACTTTTAGTTGATATTCTATTTGCTATTGTATCTTTATTATTATTATTATTATTATTAAAGTTTAAGCATCTTTAATGAAGTGTAATTCTGTTGATCTTACTTTGCAAATCGATATTATTTAGAAAGCACACTTATAATGTTATTGACTACTATTCTAGAATATTCTATATATAAATATATATAAACATATATGGATATAATTGTAGAGACAGAAGAGGAATTTATCGTAAAGGATATTCTTTACTCAATTATTTTGTTTTTTGTAAAAGGAATTTGTAGGTGAATCCTCGCCGGCTGCACACGTGATCCGAGTTCTACTCTTCACTGACACACTTCTCAGCCCAGCCCAGCATAGCCGGTCGTTTGCTCAATAGAGAAGGAGGAGGCTGGCGGTTTCACGCTGTAAAAACAACAACGTCACAGCCACAAGAAATTCGAAGGTTAAACTTGGAGCCTTCTGCCCCACTTGGATGACAAAAAAGAATGAGAGATAAATTGGCTATTGTATAAAGTTGGTTCATGCTTTTTACTAATATCATGAATATTTGTCAGCTAGTTTCTTCCTACAGATAATCTTTACCGTTTGGTACAATCCAAGGAGAATGTCACTAGTGGAGAAAAATACTCTATTCCTGAAGAATTCATTATAAAATTAACACTTAAGATGGCTTCGAGCAGGCGATCTATAAAAGCTTCGCAATCAAACCGTATGCCAGTCAGTGAACACAAAAATACCGCAGCAAAGAAGATTTATACATTTTCTTTTAAGTTCCGAAATGACAATAAATTCTTCAGTGGATAGCTTTGAAGATTTTGGTAGCAGTGGTACTTTTTCTATGGGTTGGAGTTGCTGCCCTCACACTTTCTGCATTTAATCAGCTCACCAGTGGATAATTGTTTCCTTTTGAGTAGTAGGTGTTTTGAGTTTGAATGTCAAATTTTATTCCTGTAATGTCCGTTCAAGGGTCCTATGGAGGGCATTAAACAAAATAATTTAGTTTATCTATTACCTTGAAATGACTGCCAGGTGAGATACATCAGTCAGAGTAGTGTAATGAGGTAAGTCAGACTAGCGGAGCACAAAAGCCTATCAAAATCTAGATTTTTTCTGTTGCTTCAAGTTTTCAGTGGAACAGAGGAGATTTCAAACTAGAGCTTGTAGGTTTCAGTAGCAATGTTATTTACTTTTACGGGATGGGGTTGCTAGCCTCATACCCAACCTTCCTTCTTTCAACAGTCTTATTACTGGGTTGGCGAGGTAAAGTATTGCCTCTGTGGTCAAAGACTTAACCCTGAATCACCAGTGTGCTTGAAAAGCATTCTACCTCTGTGCCGCAGATGTGGACAAAATCTAGATTAGTTGACCTTCATAAGACGTAATCCAGCAATACCAAAAACGGAAGCAGAACTACCAGTGAACACTGACCCCCCGACGTAATCAGAAGTCCTGAATGCAATCAAGATGCTTAAACCTGGGAAAACACCGGGACCAGATGGAATCCCAGCAGAAGCTTTGAAAATAGACCCAGAGACAACAGCGGACTTGATGACACCACTACTGGAGAAGGTGTGGAAAGAGGGCAAAGTACCCGAGGATTGGAAGAACAGTTACTTATTCAAACTTCCAAAGAAAGGAGACTTAAGTCAATGTAAAAACTGGCGTGGAATTATGCTTCTGTCCATTCCAAGCAAGATACTAAGTCGCATCATCCTGGAGAGAATCAAACAAGCCCTAGATGAAAAACTTCGTCCGGAACAGGCTGGATTCAGGAGAAACAAATCATGTATTGATCAAATCGCCACTCTACGGATCATCATTGAACAAAGCTTGGAATGGCAGTCACCTCTCTATCTCAACTTCATCGACTTTGAAAAGGCCTTCGACAGCGTCGATCGAGAGGTCATTTGGAAACTACTTCGCTACTACGGGGTCCCATCGACAATTATACACCTCATCCAACAGTTATACGACAATGCTGCATGCCAAGTAATCCACAACGGGAAACTTACGGAAGCCTTCGAAGTGAGGACGGGAGTGAGGCAAGGCTGTCTACTATCACCAATGATCTTCCTGATTGCAATTGATTGGATAATGCGACAGACAACGTCAACCAACGAGGGAACAGGCATAAAATGGACTGACACAAAAGACTTGGAGGATCTGGATTTCGCCGATGATATATGTCTGATTTCCCATAAACTGGAAGATATGCAAGTGAAAAGTAACAAGTTGGCAGAAGAAGCATCAAAGATAGGACTTCACGTGAACATAGATAAAACAGAGATAA